CAGACGCCTCTGAGGGTTGTCAGGGATCGAAGAGGAAGCAAGGTTAGAAACGAGAGGGTTTGGATGGTTCTGAAGTTTGTTATGGAAGGATAGGTATCTGGATTGGGCCAAGTCAGAAACATAATGAACATTAAGGTCGTTATGGATGATTTTGTTTGTGACAAAGTAAGAAGCAGTGAGGATTTTACGAAGGATTTTGGATTGTAAGGATTGAATACGAGAGGAATTCGATGGCTTAGTGGAGCCCCAGAGCTCAACTCCGTAAGTCCAAATAGGTCTTATTGTAGTCATGTATATGAGTCTTTTGTAATTGACTGGGAGGTTAGAGCGTTTATCTAGTAAGTGCTGGAGTAGTCGGAAACGTCGAGCTGTTTCTTGTCGTTTCAGTCTGGTATGAGGATTCCAAGTTAGACGTTTGTCTGCATGGAGTCCAAGGTATCGAATCTGTTCAACAGGAATAAGTGGGGTATTTTTAAAGGATACTGTAGGACAAGAGGACATAGGTTTACGACGAAAATAAATAATAAAATTATTAACTTCACTTTATTAATCAAAAGCGATTATATATATTTTTAAAAACGTTTTGCAAATTTTTCTCATTCACTGAACCTCCTAATTTTTTAATTTATTTATATTTTATGCAATTTGCACCTGCGCGGCTGGGCTTCTAGCAAATTTGCTGTGTTTGTACTGTTAGTGTATTTGCTTGATAGGGTTTTTATTGATATAGTAGGTCTCTTGGCCATTTTCTTCCATATCTCCGTTGTTCAGGTAACAGAGAGCTGGAGTTAGAAAGCACCAGAGGATTAGAGTGATACTAATTATTTTCAGTAAAAGAATACTTTTGTTAAAAACAAATTTGTGCGTTCACACAAGATAACGATAACTGCTTTTGACTAATAAAGTGAAGTTTCAATCGATAAATTTGATGTCATTGACCTAATTAAAATAAGTCAATCCTTCTCTCCCCTTATATAAAATAGTTAAGAATATATTTTTTTTACGACCTAAAGCTTGCGAGTTAATAATTTTGCATCTTTATTAGATATTTCAATTTTTTTAAACAATATTGACAATATTTTATGTTGTTTACTTTTGAATGAAAAAAAAAATTCTTAAATTAGTTGAAATCTTCAAAAAATAAAAAGTAAATAAATAAAAATCAAAGTCTTAAGTACTTTCCTAGACTTATGAAATAAATGAGAGTTGAGTGTATTTTGGATCAGGGGTCTTCAAAGTTTCTTGCGAATAGTCCGTGGTACAGACCCCGTTTTATCAAATAATGAACATCCCCGCCTAAAACTTAGTGAATAGCTTCATCTCATCTCAACATACAGTACCCATAAATACCCATTTGCTTTCCATCACAAATATGAAAAGAAAAAAAAAAAGTGACCTACAAACCGTTTGCCCTATATAATCTCCATATTATGATATTTTTGGGGTATGTCACGCCAAACTTCTCAATACTTTTTTAGGGTACTTTTTTTTGCGATTTTGTGACCATATTATCCGACAATTTATTAGATTATCTTACGATTCAAGTGGAAATCAAATGGGTGTTGATGAGTTGTTAATACCTAATTCTCCCGATTGAAAACGCCTCAATTCCTAAAATTTTCATGAATAACATATTTATAGGTTACAATAAGATGAAGCTATTCACGAAGATTTGGGAGGATGCTTTTTTCCTCCCCTTCCTTGCCTTTTAGGCTATACGGGGATTTTCCCGAGTCAGGGGGTAAGGACAGGGAATTAATGCCAGAGTTAACTCGCTCGGCCAACCCGCCCCTAATGGCCAAACTTAACAAATAACTTCTCTGTATAACTTCTTCTTGCATATAACTTTAATTGAGATTACTTTATCGAAACAGTTTTGTTCCACCTCCCTTGAAAGAGAAACTTGGGATATGCTAATTTGATCAAGGGTTCTTTTAAGACACCTCTTGGCTACATTCTCTAATCTGAAGGCAATTAATTATGAAACGGTGGGAGTTTCCTCGGAAACAAGTATTAGGGTGTTTTTCATTATTACTACTACGTCTGATTCTCTCCGTTCTTCTAGTATTAATGGTATAAATTTCATTTAAAATAATTTAAAACTTTTAATTGTATTCAAAAGTTTTTTAAAAATTATTTTACTTGCTACGATTGATTAGTGATATCTAATTAAGTAAATGAAATGGAGTTAAATCGTTTTTATGATACTTCACGAACAATCATAGCTTCCATATTTTGGTGGTTATTTTTATGTTGATATCGGTCTGCTAGTATAGAATAGAATTTGGAAGGTAAGATAAAATTAATTCTATGAGAAAACCAGGTATATGATGCGTGATGTTAAATTATACTTTTCTGTTACATCACATGTTATCAATAAAAATAGTTTATCCTCTTATCCTACAAATAATCGATTTTAATAGGCAGTTCAGCCAATTTTTAACTTTTTTTCTTTCCAGGAATTTCTTTTTATTTTATATATATATATTTTGAAAGTTACCTATTTCGTTCAACTCATGATAAGTAAAACATATTTGTAATGTGACATCTCAATTTTCTTGTAGAGGTACGACATAGGAAAGAAAGAAGGGCTCCGTGCGACCATTAATGGATATTGATGAGTTTATGCAGGAAGGTGTCCTTGACCAGCGCACTGCGCGGCGTTGGTTTGAAAAAATTAGCAGTAGAGGTACAATATTGGAAAGGGAGAAGGGCTCCGAGCTGGATATATCCAATATAATTTATATTGATGAGGTTATGCAGGAAGGTGTTGCTCCAAACTCGCCAGAGAGTGTGGTGTATCGAAAAACACTATTTGTCGCCATCTACTCTCCATGGGGGGAAGTGATAAAGAGCAGTAGACTGGTCCCTCACGAAATTACTTACTTATCAGTATTCAGTTAAGAGGTTAGACATTTGTGAAAATTTATTGAAAAACCCTTGCCTGGGAAACTCCTGCCTCATCCACCATATAGTCCACACCTCGCACCATCGGAATACTACTTATTTAGATCCATGGCCCATTTCATTCAAGAGAGAATATTTGATAATTTTGCGGAAGCTGTAATTGCGGTCCAAGAGTTCTTTGAAAGCCATGATAAAGAATGGTACCAGCGTGGGATCGAGCAATTGGCTATCAGGTGGCTAATGACGGTAGATAAAAACTGACTATACTTTAAGTATTAGTTGTATTTTATATCAAAGAAATAATAATACAAATATTTGGTTGAAAATGGTTATTTTTTTTATACACAAGGAATTTATTCTGAAAGAGATCCGTTGGCGACAAAAACATTAAAAATCTGTGGCTCTATTACTCTATTATTTTTTTTTTTAATTTTAACATTTAGCATTATTTTAAAACCTACTGAAAAATGGTTAAATAATTTTTAAAAATAAAGAATTAATTTTTTTTTCGTACGTTGTGGCATCCGTAATAAATTGATTTATTTGGATACATCTAAACGTTTATGCAGATAATCAAATTCATCAGGTTAAAACTGTTACTAAAGTCCAAACCATGCCATAAACAATAAAACTACAAAATGTTCAAGAAAGGGTTATTATTATTTAAAATATTTTTAAATTGCGTTCTAATGATATTAATTTTTTTCTGATCTTTAACAAACGAAAGAAATGTGAGAGAAATCCTTTTAACAGCGAATAAAATAATATATATCATAAACTTGAAAAAAAGTTACATTTTTCTTTATTTTTTTCATTTTTGCTTTATTCGTTTATTTTTCACGCCCCTTGTTTCTGTTAACACCAAGGTGAACACAGCATTCTTGTTCATTTGACTTTATTTCTTACTAGCAGTTATTTAGTTTCTGTAATATTGTTGAATGTTACGCTAGCAATTGAACTGAATGAAAACAGTCAATATTATTTTTCTAAAGTATGATGAAATAATAAACCAGCATAACGTAGTCCAACCAAAATAATTATCGGATGTAGAAACCTTTAATTTTAGAATCATTTAAAAGAAATATATGAAATCTTAAAAAAAAAAAAAAAAAGTATAAATGATAAAATTATTTCGAAAATGTCATAACATGCCGTCATGCCGAAGTACACTACTGCTCTACTGTCTAAAGCATTACAGCCTTGATCTGTGTTGAATGTTGTTAGATGTTTGTAGTTTGGGTGAGTCCCAGTTGAGAAAGTTTCAAAGAAGTATATGGCAAAGTCAAGTAAGCTTTTTTTAAGGTTTTTCAAATCAGTTCTCAACAGGTGATATAAAAGCTCCACCTAAAATTCTTATGATTTTTTAGAAGATATATCTTTACACTAACCGAACTCTACCTAGATTAGATGAACTTGAGACGAATCAACAAAAATATTAATTATAGTGGACTGAAACTCGACTGAAAAGAATAAGAGAAGAAAAGTTGATTGGGGTGTTCAGTCAAAAATACAAAATAAAAAGAAATAAACTATATTTATTTTCATTTTTGACGACGTTTCGATCCTAAGTTCAGGCCTTCTCACTGGGGATAAGGAAAGACAAGGTAACAATATGTATTAGAAACTATTAACATTAAAAAAAACAATAATAATATGCAGGTGAAAGGTATAGCCTAATAAGAATAAACTCAACATTAATAAATAAGTGGAGCGGCAGAAATATGAAATATAAATAAAGGAAATATAAAATAATGATAACAAAGTTTTTTTTTTCCACAAAGAGTAGAAAGTACCATAAACGAAGTTAGGATATATAACATAGCGGTAACAAACTTAGGAAATTAAGAAAATAATAACAGCAGCAGAGAGAAACTTACGAAATAAATAATAACGGAAACATATTTTATGATAATGATATGTTTACAATCTGTTGTGAACAAATTGTCATAATCATAATGGTAAAATTTAAATCCTTATACATGAATCCTTGTACTTTTTTAATTATTTAATGTATGGCAGTCTCATTACCTTAATATTAAATTAAATAATATTTAATATTTCAATATTTTTTATTTAAATGCAGGTTTACTCACTTGGACTCCTTTAGGCAGTTTCAACAGATATACGACAGTATCTGCAATATCTTCCGATTTCAGTGTTGGTACAGGGACATCGTTTTGGCATACTGAGAGCCACCCGCCAACAGCTGCGATCTCAGTGGACACAGTGCCGGGAGATATCATCTAGAATAAAATTATATAAAAAAACATGCGATACATTTCAGTAAATAATTAATCCAGTTGGAAAAATATATTTAGGAATTCTATTTTTTCCTGTTCTGATTTGCTTTTCTGGAATATTTAAATATTCACATACATTTCATATCTAAAAAAAAGTATAAGTATGATAAACATCCTGTGTGATTTAACAGTATCCGTCTATTAACAAATTGACAGTTAATATAATTTTTAATATTTATATTTTAAATAACTTTTAAAAACTGACATATTTATTAGTAGTTTTTTTTTCTTTAAAATATTACTCTAAAACTAACGTAGCCAAGTTTGTACATAGTTACTTTTTTCTACTATTAACAGATTTAAAATTTCATTTTTGTAGTTATTATGTATATATATATATATATATATATATATATATATATATATATATATATATATATATATATATATATATATATATATATAAATTTGTTAGGCGTGTTTGAATGTAAATCTTTTGTTTTAACAAAATATAAATAAGGGTACTGACCAAAATTAAGAAGAATATTATTATCTTTTCGTTAATAGATATTCAGTTTTCTTGTTTTCTTGTTTATAGACCGAGGTTGAGATAACCACCCTGCTATAAACCCATTAGGTTAATTCGATATAATAATGAATGCATGTATAATTACAAAATATATTGAATTAATTTTTTTCATTAGATATAAAATTAGCTAATTATTGGCTTACTAAAAATTAATTCGCCTACAAATATGTTGGTCCATTTGGCGTGACCTTCCCTTCGAAAAGGGTAAAATAACGAGGTTATATAGGCCAAATGTCCCAATATTTATTTAGGCCACCTTTTTTTTTCGATTTTGTGATCATTATGATTCAAGTGGAAAGCAAATGGATATTCATAATTTTTTAATATATAATTAAATTGCTAAGGTTTGTCGATCTCCAAATTGAAAACGTCCCAATCTTGAGAATTTTCGTAAATAAAATATTTCTTGTTTACGATCAGATGAAGCTATTCACGAAGTTTCAGGCGTATGTTAATAATTAATAATAATAATAATAAAAAAAGAAACACGAGGTAAAAATTATTAAGAAATATCTAATAATTGATATACATTTCTACAGTAATATCTATTTATAATTTTATGGGGCTGGGTCGATAAGAAATGATTAAACAACCGGGACTTAAAGGCAGGAAGGGTATTTGGAACGACGTATGTAGAAAGGAATGAAGTTCCATAGGGATGAAACAGCGGTTTAGTGGGTCTTGAAGGAGTTCGGATATGTATTAAGGATGGCGGGATTGGGTGACTTAGAAGATAAAGGATGCCAGGAAATACTTACGACGGTAGGAAGGATAAAGCCACTTCAACTCTGTATAAAAACGGGACACAGAGGAATTGCATATATTTATCTGTTATAACTTATTTTTGAACTTACCGATAACCTGATGTTTGAGTGGCGTTCTGCTAATTCGGCTCTGAGGCCTTCTGTGATGACGCGAAGTGCGTGTTTGGAAGCGTTGTAGACGTGCTTGCCCACCATGATTGGTACCGCATGAGCAGAGATGCTGAAAATTTTAATTATTTTTAAAGATTTACCATACGTACACTAGAAGTATAATTTGATCCGTTCCTTAAATACAAATCGGTTGGATTTAACTAAAGTAAAATAAAGTTTCCTATTATTTGGTGAATAACATATCGTAATTTAATTTTTTTACAAATAAATGTCCACACAATAAGTCGAATATATTTTTGAAAGCCTCAAAACAAAAACAAAAAAAAAAAAAAACTATCGAAGGTAGAGGCCCTCTTAATAAATGGAGTCCAGGTAGAGTTTGTTAGGTTATAAATAAAAGATTTTATACACACAGACACAGATTTGCCTCTAAATGCATATCAATAATTAAATAGCCCTTAAACGTTTCGCTAATTCAGGAACCATCAGTACAGGAAAGAAAAGAAACCCAAGATCACATCAATCTATGACATCTAATCGCATACTGGAAGAAAAGGGAGATTACGGAACTGAAAGAAGTTATAATCGTGTGATCAGCCAACAAGAAATGAAGTCATAGTAAAATGTTAAAATAAATTGGTATACGAATTTCACTATATTACAATCAATTTTAAAAATTATGTTATAGTAACATATCATAAATAAGTCATGTTATATATAATAATAATTTTACCTTTTCTCTTAAATTTTATAATTAGCAGTTATGTCTTCATTCCAACGAATGAGCGATATTATTTTCAATTTCTCCTTTTGTAATAATGTTTCGTTTTATTTACCTTAAATTTTCATTTTATATTTTTATTTATAATATTTTAAAAATAATTAATATATTTTCTTTATTATTAATGCATGAAACATTTTTTTTTTATATAAGAATGTATTTGTACCTGTCAACTTTTTGTTGATAATCAGCAATTGTGCTGGAGATACAAGAAATAATGACATCAGGAGGCATAGAGAAGGGCAGTAGTACTCAGCAGCATCTCTTCCCTGACTTGTTTCAATTACTTTGGTTGTTCAAGGAAGAGGATCGCTCATTCATATCATTTCTAGTCTCCTCCTCATGTCCCGGAGTAAGTCAGATGTGGTCGCGTTAAATTAGTGTCCGTTTAAATCAGCGTTAAGTCGTTAGTAAAGTGTCGTTATGTGTTGGTCAACTGTTTGATGGTGAAGGTCAGTATGTAGGGTTTTGTTAGTCACGTACCAAGGTGTTTTCTTTAGACATTTTTTTTCTCTTATTTTTTATTGTTTTATTCTGTGTTAAACGTGAATTTTCATCACAACTCACAACTCACTAAGAATTATGAGTAGACCAAATTTGTTTTACTTAATTTCTAATTTTGCTATTCATGAAATTGTATTTCGTTGAAATGTATTTTATTTTCTAATTATCTTCAACACACTCCTCGCTATGTGTATATATATGTACACTTTATTTTATTTTTTCTACTCCTAATCTTTACGCATAATCACTAAAATATCTTAGGGAACAAATGTATATCATTTTTTTTTACAATTTCTTTCTTTACATATTAACAGTTATTATTATTTTATATTCCATCACTACAATGCTTTGCCTATAAAATTGATTTTGCGTTTCTTTCTAATTTCATTCAGTGGTTATTATGCTATTGTTTTAGCTCCAATATTGTAGTACTGAACCACTGTTACCCAACTTTTCTCGTTAATTTTGCTATGTATTGTAAAGACCGCCGGTGGAATAATTATTTTAAATGTATAAATAAACATCATAAGTGTTCACATCTGGCGGTACCTGACTGAGGTCAACAAGTCCAACCTTTTGTAAGTGGTAATAAAAACATGTAAGGACCACCGACAAAGACCGACAACTAAGTGTTTAAAAAGGATCCCGAAGGACCTTTTCACACCTTCCACCAGAAATATGGAAATCTGTACCTGCTGCTTTACCTTGGCCTGGGGGAGAGGGCGTGGTCATCCCTTAGGCTGCGAATATTCAGCCAATCAGGAAAAAGACTACCAAAAGAGAGGGGGATGAAAAAATGTGGGAAATAGAGAATTGGGACGGAACACTTCTTCTTGGGACTCGGAGAGGAGAGGACTTCTTCTTGGGACTCGGAGAGGAGGAGACTTCTTTTTGGAACTCAGAGGAGGGAGGTCTTCTTCTTGGGGTTCGGCGGAGAAGACACTTCTTTATGGGACTCAGCTGAGGACAGCTGGATGAGGAGAGGCTGATAGAAGAGAGGCCTGATGGACTGCCCGGCACTGAGGAGGTCCCTGATGTTTTCTTCCAACTTGGAGACTGAAGCCTTGGCCCTACCTGATCCATGTCCAGATGATCTCGACTTATTAGATAAGTAATCCCCAACAATTCCTTTTTAAAGATGTATAAATATTTAATGGCAATGTAATTTTAAATTCCATCCATCAGAATCATGCCTTCACAACCAATTGTATAGTTCATTAGTTTTTGTAAATATGATGTATATTCTTTCTCATATCACTTGTAAATAAATATAATTTGTACATAAAAGTAATTTTAATCATGCCACCTATTGATATCATTATAAGCACAGGTAATGTTTGGTAATTAGAGAACAGATAAACACCCAACAAGCCTTTGTGAGAAGTAATCCAATAAATTAATCAAGGACCAATATGTCAAATGACATAATTTGCTTAGTTAATATTTTATTAACTAATTCTGGATAATTATCATCAATAATTACCAGTGGCATCCCGTGATATAAAAATCTATCAAAAACCCTTTTGATACGTAGCAATTTATCCTAAGAGCTTAATTAATAGTTGATTTATTAATAGTATTTTGTTATTATTCATTTTAATAAGTGTTTTGGTCAGATTTTTTAAAAATTTGTATGAACAATACTGTTATTCTAAAGGGACCTAGTCCCAGAATAAAGATGATTTGTCTATTCTATTCTATTCTATAATCCCACACACGCGTAAATATATATGGAAATAGAGGCATATTTATAAATAACATATTAATATTTATAATATTTATAAATATTAATATTTATGAAGTAGAGTTACCTGCTGATATTGATGATGTATCCGTTATCGATAAATGCCCCTGTCATCATTTTCAAGGCTTCCCTCGACGCTATTCCGACTCCGAACACGTTCAGCTCGAACATATTCCTCCATTTATCCATCTCACAATCTGTAAACATAATTCGCAACATTATACGTTGTTAGTATTAATCTGATGCAGGTAACGACCCCAGGAAGAACTAGAAGTGACTGGTATATGTTTCAAAAATACGAAAATTTTACGTCTGATTACGTTATAAAAATAAATATCAATAATTTAGTTTTGAAATTATTTTTGTAAACTCATCAAATTAAAAAAAAATACAATTAAACAATAATGTTTATAATGATATAATATAAGCTAGGATACTTTTAACATCACATTTTTTTTTTAAATTGAGATGATTTGAGACTTATTCATCTTCATAAGCAATTATGTGAAATAATTACAATCACTATCAACCCAAAATATATCTTAGATTTAGAAAATGACATTGTAATAAACTACAACACTTTCATTTAATTAAATATTCTAACCTTTTTGAAATTATTTATGTTTATAAATCATTAATGAAAAAGTTTTGTCTGCTTTTTCTATTCTTACAATATCTGGTATTAAGTATCTAACCATTACTACACACTCTGTGTTAAACTTATTATAGATAGATAGATAGATAGTTTATTGGCTATTATGTACATCATTTAGCCATGGAGTTTGGCCCATTTGGTGTTAGTATTGAATGGCAATGAAAGCATAAACAAAGCATAAATAAATAAAGATATAAATAAGTATACATATATAAATTCCTATTGCTTATTATAACCTCGCAATATAATCCAATAATACATCGAATTGAAAGAGAAAAAAACCAAATAAAATATGTATATATATTTTTTTTCCCCCAATAAGTAAATAGAATAAATAAACAAATAGATAATTATTTCTAAAACCCAAAACAATATAAAAAAGTGTATATCTGGAAATTAATTAATAATTCAATAATATATCGACTTAGACCTTTTTTACTTTCACTTACGTATATATGTAATATATAGTAAGTGTAAGTATTGCGATCGAAAAAATTTTTGAATCTGAGTTTTCAACGGAAATAGGCGTTTTGAGGTACCCTGAGTCGAAATGACCAAGTCCCGAAAAATGGTCTGTGTGTTTGTATGTTAACAGTCTAGCTCAAAAACGAAAAGTCCTACGAAACTGATATTACGTATTTAAGATAAGCATATGCCTTAGATATGACGGCAACTTTTTCCTTATAATCGGCTGACCGGAAGTGCCACTTTATATCAACGCTGAAACACATATTCACAATTTTCTCAAAAATGGCTCAAACGATTTTGCTTAAACTCGGTGTATCATTGTATAATCAAGTGGTCTTTAATATCAATTTGGTCTTATCCCCATTGATGTCACTTTACAGGGCTTAAATGACCAATGTTCATATACGTCTTCCTCTAAAGTACCTTATATATGGTTTATTTTAAAAAGTTAATCATTTCACACTATTTAAAGTGATGAAAAAATGCTAAATATAACTTTTGAAAGAATTTGATAAGTTAATAGAGGAGAAAAAAAAAAAGCAGAAAAACCTACGTTGCTATAGACTGTAGCGCCTAAACTGATGTACCGATTTCAATTAAACAGATGAAAGTCATTTTCTCGACACCTTTTAAATTTATCTATATAACATACTTCAACGAAAAGAAGCTGGATAAAAGTTACGAGCGATGGTAAAATTAAATTCCGAATAACTCAAAAATATTGCTCAAATATTTATTTCAAGCTATAACATCATTTTAATGTTTATTTTAAAATATTACTACTAATCCTTTTAGTTATATTGTTCCGGTTATTTTTTATTTCTTTTAATTAATGTTAATTTCATTATTTGTGTCTATATAATGTTGTCCTATGTTTTGTACTCCAGTTTACTAATTGATAGCATTTTAAATGTTTTTGTTTTAGATTTTAATTAGATTTATCGATAAAATTTCAATAACTTACTCTTAGCCTAAAAAATCTGATAGAATAGAATGATCTGAGGAATTTCATATGGAAAATAATATCCTCATAGTCAACTCCTGGTCCAAACATAAGCCGATCTATGACACCATCTCTGGTAGTAGAACACAAACCATGAGGAAGGATATTTTGACCATGGGGATTATTTTATAATAAAGTCAAAATGGGTGGGAGGAGGCAAAATGAATACATACCGCAAGGTACTTACTTATAGCAGATATGAAAATCAGCGAACCAAGAAAGCAATTAAGCAAAGCATATGATTGATGTAAGCAAGCAAGAAAATGGAAAATAAACCAGAATAATAACCAGAAGCTTGAACAAAATCATAGAGAGAAGATCAGGATGTTTTGGCATATTCCGAAAGCCTTGAAGAGTATATTGCCAAATCCGATCAGAAACATAAAAGACATACATAAGAAATGTATGTCTTTTATTGTTATGTATTCTTTTATTAAGAAATGTATGTAAATTATTTTTGGTGGAAAAGAAAAGGTCGTTCTTCCAAGAAAATATATGCAGGGAAGAAACTCGCCATCATAATTAAAGGAACTTCAGAAGAAGAGTTAAAGTGGATGAGACTTATCCTGCAGATATAGACAGCCCCATCGAGGAACACAAGGTGGAGTTAGCAGTAGACTAAATCTAGCTAACAAAACTTTCAGAATTAGATGCCATAGCTCCAGAATTAAATATAGAGAAAAGTTGAGAACTCATGAAAATATTATATTTCTTTTGGCGGCTTTGAAATTATTAAATGCCAACAAATGTGATTGCAAAGTTCAAAGCATAGTCCAAAAAAGAAACGGAACGTACACTGTAATAGAAAAGTGCAAATGTTTGCAATTCCTCCCTCCTCTCCTCTCCTCCCCACATAAATCTCCATTAAGATTTTCGATGGTCGCTAAATAATATAATAGTCAATAAAAAAAAAAGAAATTAAATGAATAAAAAAAAAAGTGTACAAATATTTTTATCTCCATGAGGTCGTCAGACTTCTCCCCTCTTTGTGGTTACTAAATCCAGTAAAGTAACGCCGTATACTATTGGCTGAAGAGAGAGATAGCTTATCAAAGTGACTTATAGCAGTGGACGTGGATTAGATACAATGTCCGGATTGGGGGCCTAATGATGAATCGCCTAAACATTGTGATTGCGCCGCTGGAAGTTGATGTATTGGCCTCGTCATCGTTGTACGACTTCGGCCTGAATTATTTAAGGTCCGTAAAAAATGTTGGAGCCCATTTTTTATTATTTCCATACTCTCAGTTTCCTTTCATGCCGTCTATGATTGCAAAAAACTAATCAATGAAATTGCCAATAAAAACCTGTATAAATACGATTCCATGGCCAATGATCCAATAAAATGAAAATAATAATCTCCACAAGAAAAAAAAATGTTTAGATGACGATCTTAACGAATTTCATATTTCAAAAAAGCAATTTTGACTGGTTTAGTTGGAAAATATTCATACTTATGATTATTGTTTATTTATTTTATTTACTACCATTTGTGTTTAACGATTCAGGAAATGTTCTCTCTTTCATTAGAAACAAACACACACACACACACACACACACACACACACACACACATATATATAACAAGTGAGCGTGCTGTCGGGAAGAAGATTATGGATTAAAAAATTGGTAACCGTGGGGGAGAGGAGTGTCCCGCGGAGTCTTGGTCTTGCGAACTCAGTCTTGTTCTTTCCCAAGAGTATCGCAACAATCTTTCAGTTAACTATTAGCTTATTCTTATTGAGATTTAACTGTAATTTTTCAGAAAAGGGAAACCTAACTAAGCATGAATGAAAAATTAGAAGAGTTAAATGCAAAAATATGTTGTTACACTTCTTTACATATAGTAACTAAAATTGTCAAGTATTAGTAACTATTTAGCCTTCATTTTTATTTTTAAAATAATTATCTACCAGCATTGGTCTAGGGTCTTGCAAAGTCTACTTGGTAGTGGCCATGCCTTGAATCACTGAGTTGGTATGTCCGTGTAAGTAATTGTGAAATCTTTTGTAGTTTGTTCGTATGTGGTCGTTAACTGTTGGCTTATGTTGGTCTTTATGTAAAGTAATGTTACTGACGTACCAGGGAGCTTTGGTGATAGTTATGAAGGTTTTAGATTTAAAAGTCTGTAGTTTACGTATGTGAGTCTTTTTGGCTGTCCCGTATATTTGGCAAGCATAGGTCCAAATGGGCTTAAATAAGTAAATGTAGTTATTTAATTTTTGTCTGTGTTTTAATTTCGAATGTTCTTGAAAGAAGTGAATTTAACACTCGCAGTCTTTGATTTAGTGTTATTTTGTTCTTGATATGCGGACCCCATGTCATTCTTCTATCGAATGTCAGTCCAAGATATTGAAATATATCTGTATGAGGAATTTTGACATTGTCGAGATAAGTTTCATGTCGAAGAGTAAAAGAAATATATCCCGATTAGTCTTTGTTGAGTCAATATACAATTACCCACTTACTAATGTTACATATTAAATATTTTTCCTATCTTATTTAGTTTATTTAAATACCCGTGTAGTGTTGAGGAAGAAGCGCTGAGATCTCCTTGAGCCTCACTTTTCCAAAACAAGTATGGAAGGGGACAAGACTGATTTGGAGTTCCCCAGGTTGATTATAAAAAAAAAATCATGTAAATAGGTGTTAAATTTAATTTTTTAATTTCTTGTTTTATTGAGTATTGATACAGTCAGCCACAGGGCATTGGTACTAGGGCTATAGTATTCATTCACAAAATAGAATTTAAATTAAAATTAATTAAACAAATCGTTAAAATATTTAAATACTGACCTAAGACTTTGGTGTAAAGGGCCGTACCCGCATTGTTTATCAGGACGTGAAGTCCGTTGAACTTCTCCTTTACCTTCTTAAAAAAATCGATCACCTCTTGTTCCTTGGTCATATCGCAGACGAATGGGAACACCCTACCATGCGCTTCCTTGCATTCTTGCAGTTCCTGTGGAGGACAAAGATAAAATGTTTTTAATAGCATATGACTAAAACAACAAAAAACTATAAAAGATATATTTTTTTTAATACTTTGGTGCAAAGTAAGTCAAGTTATTCATAGATTAAGATACAACAACTCTTGATCATCATCTTACTTGAGTAAGGCAGAATTATAACTTTGGTAATATTCAGTACTATAATAAATTATCAAAATCTTTGTCTAAAGACGCATACAATATAATTTACAAGAAACATTATTATGCAGTAGCTTTTGTTTATATTATTTAATTATATCAAAATAAGGTAACGGTTTTTCAACAATTGACAATCATAAAACTCTAGACTATTATACATTAGGCATGTCGTATAATCTGCTGAAATATTAAATACAGAACTTGAAAAAAAAATCTAAAATTTATGAAGATTAAATTATCGTTAATAGGGTTTAGACATTTCCTATGAGAGAATTGTGATGATCATACAAAAAAAAAAATTAATTATAAAACTGTTGATCTTTTTATGTGTATCATACATACATACAAATATTGGTACACAGAGAGACAAAAAGCATAACCTGGATAAATAAACAAAAAATAAAATAATACGATAACAAAAGTAAAAACAGAAAAGCATTGATTTAGATGTTTAAATATAAACAGTAGGCTAAATTTATAAACAAACACCATAATATATATATATATATATATATATATATATATATTATATATATATATATATATATATATATATATATATATATATATATATATATATATGAGTGTTTTGTAATTAATTGGTAGCTTACAGCGTCTAGTAAGTGTTGGAGTAAGTGGGAACGTCGAGCAGTTTCTTGTCGTTTCAGTCTTGTATGAGGATTGCAAATGAGACGTTTCTCCGGGCGTAGCTATCGGATTTGTTCAACATGGATAAGAGGGGTGTCATTAAATGACACTGTAGGACAGGAAGTCGTAGCTTTACGACGATGGGTAAACGTAATTTGATAGGATTTATTGGAATTTATTTTAATCATCCAGTTTTTACACCAATATTTCGAGGAAAAAATAAATTAATTAATTAAATTTTGTTCAATTTTATATTGCTTTGTTAACATCGTTGAAAATGAACTTTAGAAGATGGTTTATAAAAAAAAAATATTTTACCTCTGACTTTTTATAAATTATGTTTAAATGTACTTAAAAGATTATCTCAGGCAAAATGAGCGATAGTCACTTATTTATGTACACTTATCATTCAGTCATATCTTATTCATTTTGTACGCGGCGATGATAAAACAGCATTTCAATATATATAATATATCAAACTAGAGGAAAAGTATTTTAAACTGTACCATCTTCAAAAATGAAAATAACGACCATGTGGCCAAAAGAGGTAAAAATTTTGAACTTTAATTAATAACGAAAAAAACAGATGAAATTTTTAAATTAGTTTATCTTAAATTAAAGTTACAAATTAGAACCTTTTCCAATTAACTTCATGAAATTAAAAGAAAACTGCCGTACCTGTGTAAGAATTCTTCCAGTTGATTTTTATCCTTCTTTCCACTTATAAATTTGAAGTATGAATGTTATTAATTTTTTTTTATTTATCTTTAAATTATAATCTGCACCTGTCGACAAATGTTGACAATCAGCAGATGGTCTGATTAAAGTAATGAAACTGATATGTCAGGCATGGGGAAGTATAGCACCCAGCAGTCCCTCTTCCCTGGCTTGAATAAATTACCATGGTTTGTCAAGCGTTATTATTATTATTTTTATTTCTAAAAATAATACATTATTATCAATAAATTCAATTTGTGAAGCTCCACTTTATAACTATGTTAAAATAACAGGTTGCTTATCAAGCAATAAGATTCCTATAAGGGCGTAATCTGTTAAAAAAATATATTTAACAATAAAGATAAAAATAAGTTTAATTTATTTCGGGTTGTGAATGTTATTCTCTAGTGATAAGATTCTTTCCAAATATAAGGATAGAAAAACTTAACTAGTCACTATCCATCATATATTTTCAGAAATTGGTTCTTCATGTTAGTTATTTTTTACTTTCCCACCTATAATAGGTAAGGAAAGTATTGCGATCGGTACAAATTTCCGATTTGCGGTTTTCGACGGATCTTTACGTTTCAGAGTCTCGTGAGTCCGAAAAACACATTTTTAGCCATCGGTCTATCTGTCTGGCCATGTCCCGGGAACTAGTAGACTGTTGTTTTATTTATTTTATTTTTTTTTTTAGTGTGTATGGTTTTGATTACTGTTGTCTGTGACACAAATCGGTTGTTTCCTCCATAATATAGATCTGCAACTGCGCTCTAATATTCTATGGTAAAATTTACATAAAACCTTCTGAAAGATAATACAAAACTATATCAAAATCGTTCATTTCTGATTACTACGGAACCTGCAGCTATTTAATTTCTTTTTTAAGATTACCGTTTTAAAACCCGGTGCTAGAAATGGCCGAGAGAGAGAGAAAAACTAGAAGTTAGTGAATGTAATAAAAAATCTCGTGCCCGCATCACACAAGTTTCATTTACTCCTCCACTTTAAACAGAAATTATCGTCTGGGAAAATTGGGCTATTGCACGAAGTTTTTGATAGATAATGTTAGAGTGTATTGATTTTTTTTACGATAATCTTCAACAATCCAGTTTACATCAAAGAAATCGTACTCAAATCATTTCTTTGATTAATTTTCAGAAAAATAAATCTAATTAATTCTTTCTATCTGTTTTGTTTATAAAGGACCTATTTGAAGATGTAAAAACTTTTCTTAAATCGGTAGGAAAGTCGTGTAAGTGGGATTTTTGCAAAGGTTTTTTTTTTGTGTGTTATAAAATTTATGGATTAAAATAGAAACTCGTCTCCTACCTTTGGACACCTCTTTTGTCAAAATGAATACCGTCTATGCCATCTATAATACCGTATTATGTATTGAGTAGATTATTTTAATAAATTAAAAACATGTTGTACAGTTGTACCTTGATGTCGACTATAAGTTCAATTATTTTAATAGTGAATAAACCATTAAAAGAACGAATAATATTACTTTTTTTTGTATAAACCTGTTTTTCAACCAGGAATAGTAAAATGTCTAATGATTTTCTTTTCAGCAACGTCTAGTCGCTGCCCACTTTTCCTCGGTACCTTTTCATGTTTCCTTTTTCCTTGTTTTTCTTAAACCTGGATCGATTGGATTTAATCTTGAATGAATTAGAAAGGACCGTAATCCTTTGCGCTTTATGTCCTGTACAGCGAAAAATAAATATCTCGGTTTAAAATGAAAAAGCTATGATTTCCTCCTGAATTCATGAAAACACTTGTGATAATTACGTTTTTAAAAACAAATTGAAGGGTCTTTATTGAAGAGGAGTTGATAGCTAATTAAAAATAAATAAATTATATTTATTTTTATTTTTGTCGACGGTCCAAGATATGAGAAACTAGTATCTGGTAAAAAATAATAATATGTGCACAAAGTTAGGATATACAACATAGCGGTAAAAAAATCTTTATGATGAATAAACGCAAGTTTTACATAAGTTATTTAGGCTAAATTTTTAAGTAAATAGCCCTTACTTGTTTAAGTAATTCTATGACATTAAAAAGATATTTTAATGTAATTACAAAGTGTGTTTACTTTTTGTAGTCTACTAGAGAGGTATTCACAGGAATTTTTATAACTGGTAAGTTTAATAGTCTAAGTGTTTCTTTTGTAAAGCTTCTTTTCTTCATATTCTGTACGGATCTTTAATATCATAATTGCTAAGAACTAGAAACTCTGTGGTGTAACAATTAGCAATGATGCCGATTCACCCATTCCTCTCAAGAAATTTCATGATCATCGTCTTCTTAATATCTATCTAGGGGTGCCCATCCCCCCCCCCCCCAAGGTCGATGGTGCAAGAACCTAACCCCCCTTCCCTCCTCTCAAGATATTTTATTGCTCACCTTTCTTAAAAACAGAGTAGGTAGAATTAGAATCGTTGATCATATATAAATACATTTGTTACGGTAAGTTCTATGTTTTTTTTTTTGTTTTTTTGTCCTCCCCTTTCTCGCCGTTAAGGCTATACGGGATTTTCTCGGGCCAGGGGGGGTTGGCGGGGATTTAAAAGACCCCCTTGGCACCGGGACGCGAACTCGTGGTTATTTTTATATCATTGTCAGATATCAGGTTGCCGGGCAACGGTGGTGCAGTGCACACGCCTTAGCCCATTCGGCTACCCCGCCCACGGTAAGTTCTATGTGTTAACGTTGTTTATTAGTCCGAAAATTCATAACCCTGTCGAAGTTTGGTCCCCTCAAAAATCCAAAAACTCTTCAAGACATGCCCCCTCAAAAATTTTGATTGCGCGACTTGCGTCATGAAACCACCTTCCGGACATCTCTGTAACTATCCAAGGGAAAGTTGAATTATATTAATTGTATGAGAAGGAGTTGGTTGGGGAAGGGGGAGGAGGGGTGATGTCAAATAAATACTATTTTAATAAATACTATAACCTCTCCCCCTCCCGGCCTACTCCCATAATCACGGTCAACCATCTCTATACCATTATATAAATTGTATTTTATATACAATTGAACTTGCCTTGATATGTTTCATGTTTTCCCCTTGCATCCAAGTTTGAGGTTTTTACGATTGAATCCCTAAAAAAATATGATTCTCCAATTTATAATGCCGTCAAAATGTAACCCACTCAAAAATTAAAAACTCTGTAAAAATTTGTCTCTCCTCAAAATAATTCATGGCTAAACTTGGCTGGCCCATTCTCTTGTGGACACTTCTGACAATAACAATTATAATACCGCATCATGAGGAATGGAAAAGTGAAGACTATAGAGGCCACGGATTATACCATTAACAGACTCTTATGGATGATTTAGCTCCTACGGGAAGCCGGATTCATATGATAGAATTTCGCTGAAAAATTAAATTACTGACATTATATAAAAATAAAAACAACTTACGGGAAGCGAAATATTT